ATCAATTTTCCAGTTTTCTTTACTCGCAGCACGTAATACATCAATCTGGACTACAGAAATTTCTTCCATTAGCACTGGATATGACCAAATGCTGTTCGCAACAGCCGTGAAGATCAAAAATTTTAAAACAAGCTGTCTGTCCGACTTGCCGGCTTGTTAACCGTTACATCTACCGTTTACTGCTGCAGTGACACAGTGCCTAAAGAGCCGAGTTCGAATCCGTCTGACGGGACGACCACTGCCTTAATCGTGGATTCCCTTCAGCAAGTAATTAACAACACGGTGCTTCGGCGCACCAATCGACACACAGCTAGTAAGCACAAGAAAAGACAGCTTGATATTCTGGTGTGCTCATACCAGAATGGACGAAGTGCACGGCAATGCAGTCCTATACGAGCGCCCCTTTGTGGATGGACCTGAACCGCCTGGTCGCCTTGATCCATATGATAGATAATTATCCAGTGTAATAATCAGTACATGGTGTGACCCCGATTTCGTTTGATATTTCTTCTGAAATTTTGTCCTTTAGGTATGGGCTTAATTTCTCTTATTCAGCAACTAACACACCGAACGTCTGACATGAGGTTTTTATAAAAACCTGGCATTATTCATCAATGGGTTACTGCAGCAATGACCACGAGACGAAACTACTTTTGGGTCAGCATCACTGTTGGACATGTGGGAAATCTGTTTGCAGAAGTGAAGCCAATTGGCCAACAAACACCTGAGTTTTGGAATAACTACAGTGGCATATTGTCGGTAAGTTATACTCTTCAGATACCACAACAGGAGTACATAGTCGAAGTATTAGATGGTACTGGCATTGTGGAATCTACAGGGGTATTTTTCCCTGGTTTACGGCAAAGCGGAATGGCAGCCTTCATACAGTGCATTCTGCCTTAGACAATATTGCAGCGGATTTTCTTCCGACCGCTAGATTAAATTAGAGTATACAAATTTTGAAAGCATTAAATATTAAATACCGTGCCAGTACTGATCTCCTTTTGTAAGCCATCCGGTGTGAGGGGAGGATATAACGGAAGGCTACTGAATGACTTAAATATGAATAACACATAAACCATAGTTGGCTGCGATTGGATTACGGTAATTTGAGTGACCAGCGCAGAGACAGAGCAGACAAATAACAGATCGGCGTTGTATAACCCGTTCCAGCTTCATTCGTATTCTTCCTTGATTTACGAATTTTAAAGAAGAAAAAAAGGCTCACAGCGCAGTAGCCGTCGCTTCAAGACTGATCTACGTATGACGATGGTGTGAGTTTCGAGAACAGTCGCACGTCGGTGTCAAACAGGCGGCAAGTCACGTTCGACTTCCTTTTTTTTTCTTCCTGTTCTTCTTCTTCCTCACTGATTTGCAAAGCTATTCGCTCGTTCGATTCAAATGTGCACAAGTAAAAACACATGACTACAAGGAGACCGAAAAACTCAACGACAGAAAACCGAAGGAAACAGATTGAAGAAGGATGATTTTCGAGGCCAAAACAAACACATCGACAGCCAAGGGTGAAGTGAATGGCACCTGTGAACAACGATCGTTGAACCAACGGCGAAAAATCATCGTCGATGCCTCGATTTCTTTCGGTTCGAGAGCATGTAGTAACCAGAATCACGTTGCAGTCATAAAACCACCAGTAAACTAAGTTCGAAAAACAACTCGGACGGCCACCGGACACGTGTTCCACGCAACATCTACTATCGAGATCATAAAAGCGATCGGCATCGATTTGGGAAGTGTATATCCGAAGATTTAAAGGAGGAAATGAACCACAATGTCGAAGTGAGCTGGCTTACATTTAAGCAACACTAAACAAACATACACAGTTGCTTGAATGATTCATGGTTTAGGGTAGGTACCAAATATAGCAGAGGATAAACAGTTTAATGCCTACGCGCTTTACTGCATAGACCGCAGCATCATCAGCGCTGGACCGTTCACCCCGAACCGAAACTCATTCAAACAATCATGTATATAACCATGGGCCCAAAATCAAAAACGTTAAGTATTATGTAAAACTAAATTAATCGGTCCTTGTTTGAGCTGAATCTGAAATACCATTTCCAATGATCACAGATCATAAATCGGTGCTAATTTTCTGTCCCAAACCTGTTAGCCTTAGACTAAAGATGAAAAAAGCAAACATGAGCAGGCGTCTACGTTAAAGCCTTCCCTCACGCATTTCCCTTTTAAATACACTGTCAAAATTTCCCAGCATCGTTACCCAACCGTCACACTTCAAAAATCGACCGAAAACTAGGCACCTTCTAAACGTCACCACAACCACTGCAAACTTCCTTTACACGAAAAGTCGAAAACTGCTTCAGGTGTACTATGGTATATCCTTGTGTGCATTTGTTTTATTGCTCTGCTTTCGAAATGCCTTACAAAGCTGAACTTCTTCCTGAATTGCCACTAATCGAATCGAACGCACCCCAAACTAGCAAAAAACCCTATCAACACCTCTGACGACCAAAATTTTGCAAAGTCATGAGACTCGAACTTCTACCTATCAAACAGGCACATATTCTAAATGCAGTAAAGCAAAATTTCTTCCCTAAGTTCGCCAGGCTTCCACAAACTCTAATCACAATTCCAAAAGCAAAAATCGCATGCTTGAACAACTGCGCGAACGACGACAAAAAACACGTACCACAGAGGTTGAGGGGCGCTTCGAGTTCCAACAGGATCGGCTGGCTGAGGAAGATCTCCCGAGATTTCATGCAAAGCCCTTTGATTTCATTTTCGCTCAATTGTACG